TCTCGTAATATACAATACATACAATACTATATGTACCTGAGTTATAAAACACAATAGAGATCCAAACAATTGGAAAGGCCTTACTCAACTTTAAAAGTATAATCCCAACTGTGAGTGGTGGTGCACGCCTTTATGGTCAGCACTTGGAGGCAGAGGCAGGTAGAACTCTGTGAGTTTGAGGCCAGCCTGGTGTATATGGTGAGTTCCAGGACAACCAGAGCTACACAGAGAAATCCTGTCTCAATACACCCCCACCACCAAAAAAAGTATAATATAATTGGTATACCTCATGGGAAAAAGCTATATACTATCCTCGATTCTCCTATAGCTCCACATTCTCCTCTTCCCTGTCTCCTCCTCCTCCTCCTCCTCCTCTTCCCTCTATTTCTCCCTCTAATTTCTCCAACAGAGAAATACTCTTGTTGTGTAATATGGACGTGTCATCTCTTTGATGATTTTTAAATCGCCTGTATCATGTTGTGTAGGAACCTTAAGTAATATGTAATATAGATTTGCTTGTTTTGTATTCATTTGTCTTCATCTTTTGGATGGGGGCCTGGGGTGATGGTGATGAAACAGAGAGCCTCCACACATGCTAAGGACATATTCTGCCACTGAGCTACACCTATGCACTTGCTGACAATTTTTGAGCTATTATATTGTACACACACCATCAAGTTGGGCTTGTTTTACTCATTCAATTCTGTTTATAAGGCATAGATAGCTCAATAGTCAGAGCTAATACCTTTCCTGATTGCTACAGTATACTGTTCTTCAGCTATACCAGCACTGGGCTGCTCAGTTCCTTTGAACATTCTTGTGTTTCTCTTTATGTGTGTATGTTCAAGCCTTCTTCATTGGTGAAATACCTGGATTTGGGATGGCTGGATGATAGAAAGTATGTATGTTCAACTGCACAAGAAAATGCTAAAGCATTTTCCCATGTAGTGTCTAAGAGGTCCCAGCCAAGCACAATAGAGCATGCTTGCAATTCTAACACTTGAGATGAGGAGGCAGGAGAATTTCAAATTCTAGGAAAGACTGAGCTGTACAGAAAAACTCTTAAAAATGAAGAAATAAAGCCGGGCGGTGGTGGCACACACCTTTAATCCCAGCACTCGGGAGGCAGAGGCAGGCGGATCTCTGTGAGTTCAAGGCCAGCCTGGTCTATCAAGTAAGTTCCAGGAAAGGCGCAAAGCTACACAAAGAAACCCTGTCTCGAAAAAAACAAAACAAAACAAAACAAAACAAAAAAATGAAGAAATAAGAATTTTCCGCTGCTTCATGTTCTCATCTCCAGGTGGGATTTTAGATATGACCTTACACCTTTCTTCTGGGTGTGTAATGGTGCCCTTGTACAATCTGTAGTTCAGTGATTACAAGACCAAGAAAATCATTTCTGTATCTTGGTACAATGTGTTTCTTCTTCTATGAGATTCCCATCTTTGTCTTTTGCCCCTTTTTTTGGACACTATAATCTCTGTGTCCTCTGTTATTTATAGTTATTTATGGCAGTTATTTGTATACTCTGGGGTCTTCTTTCATTAATGTGAATGTGAGCCTTTATGAGTATATGTGCACCATATGTGTGTACAAGAGTCTACAGAGGCCAGAAGAGGGCGTTGATTCCTCTGGAACTGGAGATACAGGTGGTTGTGAGCTACTGTGTGGGTGCTGGAAACCAAACCTGGGTCCTCTGCAAGAGGAGCTAGTGGTCTTAAACACTGAACCATCTCTTCTACCTCCATCCCACCCCACCCCTACCCGCCCCCCACATCTGCTCCTTTTTTGAGACAGGATCTTACTATATAACCCTGTTGGCCTGGAATTTGGTATGTTGACCAGACTGGCTTTAGACTCAGAGATCTGCCTGCTTTTGCCTCCTTGACAAGGGTCTGGGATTAAGACCTGTGCCTCTGACCTTTTCCAATTATAAGCTGACAAATGTGTTCTCCAGGATTGTAGAGTTTTATGACTTCTTATTGTGACTTTTGATGAACATAAATCTTTAGTTATATTGCAGTTGGGTTTATCAAGCATTCTTTCACACTGGTACTTTTCTGTCTTAATTGAGAAGCCCTTCCTTACCCCAAGATGACTAATTGGATTTTCTCCATTTTTCCTTGGGTGCCAAATCCTGCTTTTCCTCTTAGAGCTTTTCTGTGCTTGGTATTTAAAAAGTGGGAGAGCTCTCTTGCTTGTTTCTGTCCTTAAGAAAAATTATATTTTATTTGAAAATGATTTTTTTTTCTGGGCCTGGAAGTTGGCACAGCATTTGCTGCAGAAGCCTGCCTGTCTGAGTTTAATCCCTGGAATTCACTTCAAAAGCCCTAAACCAGATGTGATATTGCACAGCTGTAATCGCAGCACTTCTATGGGAATGGGGGGCAGAGACGGGAGAATCTCCTAGAATCTCGAGGCCAGTTATTAGCATGCAGCAGCCGAACCACAGAAACAGGACTCTGCCTCAACAAGGTGGAAGACAGTGGGCTCCAGACAAGTTGTCCTCTGACTGTCACACACACACACACACACAGACACACACACACAC